ACTTGTTGGTTTCTTTTTTTTTTTTTTTTTTCCTGTTGTGGTGGCTTTTACCGTTGTACTATGACTCTGTAGATAAGTGGACTGTCTGCTTTCAGTGAATCTCTAGAGGCTTGTAGAAAACTGTTCAGTTTTCCAGGGCGTGCCTAATGTAACACACCCAACTTTGGTGTGGTGAATCTTCTCTCTTTTTCTTTAATCAGAAGGGATGTGTATTCTGTTCAGCTGAGCTCTTCTCGATGGAGACCAGTGCCTGAGCACTAGCCCCAGTGGGTATAATATTCAATGCTCTGTCCCAAAGACCACACAAAGGATCTATGCAGACCTCAGTGTAAGTTCAGATTTTCCAGCAATGTCTCTCACCAGGTAACCAGGACTACCCCAGCTTGTGGCGTCTCCCACTGAGACTGCTCTAAGTCTCAGCCACACAGTGAGTTCCCACACACCCTCAGTTGTTTTTTTGTTTTGTTTGTTGTTGTTGTTTTAGAGACCTGGTTCAGAAGCTTCACACAGTCAAAGCCCCTGGCCCCCCCACCCCGAGTCAGGAGTCTGCTCAGCTGATTGCTGGGTGCAGACACAAGCTGGTGCAGCTGTTACGCATGTCCAAAACGGTGCCAGCTCTATCAGCTTGTATGCCTCTGTAAGGTGATCGGGGAGAGAGAGAAGTGTCCATACCGTCCCTTTCTTTTTTTTTCCCCTCCTCTAGTTAGCCTGGTGCACTTTCCTCCATGGGGCTTCAAGCCTCGTTCCCTCTAGGCTCTTCCTGCTGCTCCACATAAGTCCACCATGTCCCTCTAGAGTTTCCCTCTAGAGTGTCCCAGTACAGTTTCCTCTGCTGTTTTTTCCATAACTCTTCCCTGAGACTACACTCTCTCCAATAATTTAAAACTATCTTCTCCTGGAAGAGCAGAAAGCTCCCTCCCTACTCTGCCATCTTGAAACCTAAGGGCCCAAGTTCCAGGTTTCTTTTTAAGTTGATCATTGTGTATGGCCCCTGAACGATGTTATAAATACCCAGATAGCCCTTGGCAGAAAAAAGGTTTCCCACCCCTGTCCTAGATAAGTCTTTCCTCTGCACTGACCTTCTCACCCAGGCTTTCCCTGGCCAACCCCTCTCAAAATACAATCCTTTCCAACCGGACAGCTCATTCCTGATCCCAGCATCCAGGACAGCACCTCCATAGTTAAGCAAGCACTCGATAAGGACAGCTGAAGAATGCACTCCTCTGAGAGCTGATGGAGAACTAACTAGGAAAGAAGGAGGAGGAGATGAGCCAGGCCGAGGGAGGAGAGCGCTCAGAGACCCTGGAGAAGGACTGAGCAGGGGAAGGGACATGGCAGCACTGCCAAGGGGAGCGCTGGATGACGCACTGTAACGTCTCAGCTCAACCGACAGGTAACAGTGGGAGGGCAAAGCCTGAAGGTCAGAGAGAACCCTGGAGCTCCGAGGAAGCAATGGGCATGGCTGAGGAACTGATCAAACTCCCTGGACAGAGGAGAGCAGGGTGAGAGAGCGTGGCACTGTGCACCTGGAAGCTGGTGCAGGACCAGGACGGGAGTGAGGGCGTCGGGGTGGGAAGCTGTGACAGAGAAGGATGAGGAGAGGGTACATGCAAGAAAAAGCACATCCACCTGCAGGCCGGGGACTGCCCATGGACACAGAGGACACCTGGATGATATCGACAGTTGAGGCAGAGAGGCCGACAGTGGGCCAGGTACCAGAGCCCACTGGGTGAAAAACCAGGAGAGGGTGCACAAGGCAATGAGGGGGAGTGGAAGCTATGGGAGGGAGAGAGGGAGGAAGAGGGTGGCTGGGAGATGGTGCCTGGGGAGAGGTGAGCAGACAGAGGCGGCTGTTGACTCCAGAGTGGTGATTTCAGGACACAGTGAGGGCCTGGTGGGTGGGCTGGGTCACGGTAAACAAGAGTGGATGGAAAACTGACTCAAGGCCATCACAAGAGGGGCAGAACAGAGAGACCAGACTGGGCTGTCTCTGTCCTTCTTGGGCGGCCTCAGTCCTTCTTGGGTGGCTGTAACAAAATACCTGCAGCTGGACACTTCATAAGGAAGAGACTCCTTGGCTCACGATTCTGGTGGCTGGAAGGTCCATGCAGTGTGGCGCGGGGTATGGGGAGGGCCCCTGGCTGTGTCACAATGCAGAGCATTGCATGCTGAGGCAGAGAGGAGCTGAGATTTTAAAAAACATCCTAAATTTTAAAGAAAAAAAAAAGTATGGGGGGCTGGCACTGTGGCGTAGTGAGTAAAGCCGCCACCTGCAGAGCCCACATCCCATATGTGTACCAGTTCAAGTCAGAGCTGCTCCACTTCTGATCCAGCTCCCTGCTATGGCCTGGGAAAGCAGTGGAAAATGGCCCAAGTCCTTTGGCTCCTGCAGCAATGTCAGAGACCCGGAAGAAGCTCCTGGCTCCTGGCTTAGGATCAGCACAGCTCCAGCTGCCGCAGCCATTTGGGGAGTGAACCGGCAGAAGGAAGACCTCTCTCTCTCTCTGCCTCTGTGTAACTCTGCCTTTCAAATAATAAAGTAAATAAATCTTAAAAAAAAAAGGCAACAAAGTCAAGGAAAGGCATGCTCCAGTTAGACTATGTCTCTAGACTTTTTTATATTTCTCTGAATCATTGTATAACTCTTACTTTAAGTCAGCAAGTTGGCAAAAACTATTACCAACAAATATTCAATAAACCTGACCCTAATTGCTACAGGAAAGGATTTTATCTCTAATACTTTTTTTTAACTTTTATTTAATGAATATAGATTTCCAAAGTATAGCTTATGGATTACATTGGCTTCCCCCCCACAATGACTTCCCTCCCACCCACAACCCTACCCTTTCCCACTCTCTCCCCTTCCATTCATATCAAGATTCATTTTCAATTTTCTATATATATAGATCAGTTTAGTATACATTAAGTAAAGATTTCAACAATTTGCACCCACATAGACACACAAAGTGAAAACTACTGTTTGAGTACTCGTTATAGCATTAAATCACAATGTTCAGCACATTAAGGACAGAGATCCTACATGAGGAGTAAGTGCACAGTGACTCCTGTTGTTGACTTTACAAATTGACACTCCTGTTTATGGCATCAGTAATCTCCCTAGGCTCTAGTCATGAGTTGCCAAGGCTATGGAAGCCTTTTGAGTTCACTGACTCTTATCTTATTTAGACAAGGTCATAGTCAAAGTGGAAGTTCTCTCCTCCCTTCAGAGAAAGGTACCTGTGGGGAGCAACTCGGACTAGACTAAGTTACTGGAATTAAGACTTATTCTATGCATCTGCGCTCCCACAATATGGCGCTGGGAGAGGAGTAAACAACTTCTACACAGCTGCCTCTCTTTGGAGGAGAGCAGCGTGCTCGGCGTGTGGGTAGCAGAGTTGGGATTGGTGGAAGAGGACTATAAAGGAGGAGAGAGACAACATGCACCAGGAACATCTGAAGGAACATCTAAGAGGAACATCTGAGGGAACACCTGAGCAGCCCCCGAGAGAGCCGGCCGGCGGTGTGCCGCTCCCCCGCGGAAGTGGGGAAAGTGGCAGGGGGAGCCGCCCTTCCACGGAGGTGGAAGGGTCGGCAGCCAACCCGGGAAGAACCAGCAGCAAACCCGGGAAGGGCCGAGCAGACAAAAGAACAACGCAGGGTCCTGTGTCGTTCCTCCACGAATGGGGGAGCGACAGGTACCTCCTTCTTTGAAGACCTGTTCTTTCCACTGGGATCTCAGTCACAGTATCTCTAATACTTTTGATGCTACTTTAGATACTCTTAGCAAACAGCAGTCAATACAAGAAAAATTATTTCTAATTGAACAGTGCTGTAAATGTGGTCAACAACAAGTGAAAATGAAGATAAAGCCAAGAGTTACCTATTTAAACTCACACATTTCACCATCACTGCCTCCCACCTTACACACATAAATGTACTCATCAATGTATTTAACCACCATCACTAACACCTGCCATGTCCACGCCCTGCTCGAGTATCCTAACATTGAGCATCATTTAATCTCCACCACCTCCTACGAAGTTTGTTCTCAAACCCATTCTACAGATCAGGAAACTGAGGCCCAGTTTTCTGGGTTTAGTACCCACAAAGTGACAGAGTTCAGTCTGACAGAGTCTGGCTCCTGAGTCCATGTTCCCCATCACCATGCGTGGTCTCCAGGAACTACAGAAAGATCAAGGCTTGCTTCTCCCTCCTCATCCGGCTTTCTGTTCCTTTACCACGAACTGATAACTCCTCCCTAGCTCTACCTGAGCACCCTCCTACCTACCCCCTCTTCATGCCTTTTGTGCCCAGCTGAAGTATCACTGTCTCAGGTCCTAACTCTAATAGCAGCCATGTGTTGCCAGGGCTCCAGGCGAAACTGTAAGTACGCCTTTCACGGCTAATGATTTGTTTCCTGGCTGTGTTTCCCAACTAGGATGTGAATTCCAGGATGTCGACACGGGCTTGCTGCCCCATCAGCGAATCCCCACCGAACCAGGCCCAAGGCAGGGCCCCCATGCAGCGGCCTCTCCCTGACACTCCCAGGATGTGCACGAATGAAACCCGCTCCAGACAACGCCCCGTCCCCAACACCCACGACCACACTCCTAACTGCGGAGCCCTGGGTACCGGCTCTGCGGAAACACACAGGAACAGGTGGCCGGGACAGGTCGCCCCCTCTCACTGGAGTGACAGTGGGGATTCTAGCAGCCCCCAGGGGAGCGTGCCTGCACCCCTTCCCATAACTCATCAAGGCCGCCCTCATACGCTTCGGGACTGGGTGTCCCAGCACTGCTCTGGCGCCAACAACACCAAGACCACGGCCGCCTCCTTCCCGGCTAACCCTGCTCGCTGCATTTCACCCACGAGGGGACAATCGCTCCACACGGGTGCGACGCGGCTTCGGGCGCCCCGGCGCAGCCCTCAGACACGGGCCCGCCTCCCTCCGGGCCCCGGGCGCCCGCGTGCCGACCCCTAATCCCGCGCCCAGCACACACCTCTTGCACATAGAAGCATCCTCGCAGGTGCCCCGCACGCCCTCGTCGTCCGTGTCGCAGCTCGTGGAGGCGGAAACGTTGAAGGACGGCTCCCTCAGGCTACCGGCCATGGGCTTGCAGCTTCCGGGGAGCCGTGCCCACCGGGGACATGAAAGCAATGCGGACAAACGGCGGGGAGAGGAACGAGCCGCCGGGAGAACCCACGAGAGGGGCTGGGTTCCACTCGGCTCAGCTGGCGCGGCTCAATGACGCCGCCCACGACGGCTGCCCAGCAACCTCCTTGCTCATTGGCGCCTCTGCCAATGAGGGTGATGCTCATTGGGCAATCTCCCCGCCCCTTCACCCGGCGATAGCGCTCATTGGAGAACTCTTTAGCTCCACCCACACCACCCGTACGTTGGCCGAGGCACAACCTATACTGCGGAAGAGAGTACCGCAGTGCCTTCTGGGAAATGGAGTCCTCGATGCTTGGTACGACCCTGTTTCCTTGGAGCCGGTCACAAAATTTTATAACCATAATTAACTCAGGGTGGAAGAGCTATCAGGATGCTCAGCAAGGGGCGAAGGGCGGAGAATCCAGGCAGAAGAAACGAATGGGAGGTAACCCTCGGGACTCAGTGTCGTTCAACAATCCAACAGGTTTGAGTGAAGATGTTGTGAAGGAAATATTGCGGGAAAACGCACACAAAGGAGAACTCTGGGGCCTGGAGAAGGAACGAATGGGAGCTGCCAGCTGCAAGCGTCAGCCGCTGCATTTCAGGGAGGGGAAGGAAGTAGAATAACATTTTAGTAAAGTTCAAGCAAAACTTGTTTAGAGAAACGTAAGTGGTAAAATGCTCTATACAGAAGGAAAGAAACAGGGAAAAAGGGATCAGGATACTGGTGACCTCTAGGGAGTAGAGACGTAGGCGTCAGGACGGCAGGGAAGATACTAGGACAGAAGGAGATGGGGACATACACACCTCTTCAGTTTCTCAAGTTGGTAAGGGTGCATGTGTGTTTCTTATATTATTGTGCATATTCAGAATGTCCATTACCTATATTTTGTGCTTAAAACATTTTCTTGGCCAGCGCCGCGGCTCACTAGGCTAATCCTCCGCCTTGCTGCGCCGGCACACCAAGTTCTAGTCCAGGTCAGGGTGCCGGATTCTGTCCCGGTTGCCCCTCTTCCAGGCCAGCTCTCTGCTGTGGCCCGGGAGTGCAGTGGAGGATGGCCCAAGTGCTTGGGCCCTGCACCCCATGGGAGACCAGGAGAAGTACCTGGCTCCTGCCTTCGGATCAGCGCGGTGCGCCGGCCGCGGCGGCCATTGGAGGGTGAACCAACGGCAAAGGAAGACCTTTCTTTCTGTCTCTCTCTCTCACTGTCCACTCTGCCTGTAAAAAAAGAAAAAACGAAAGAAAAACAAAAAACCTTTTCTTGTTGTTAAACATTCCTTTTTTAAAATATTATTTATTTGAAAAGTAGAGTTACAGACATGAGAGGGAGAGAGAGAGGTCTTCCATCTTCTGGGTCACTCCTCAGTTGGCCGCAACAGCTGGAGCTGAGCCCATCCGAAAACAGGAATCAGGAGCTTCCTCCAGGTCTCCCATGCAGGTACAAGCACCCAAGGACTTAGGCCTTCTTCTATTGCTTTTCCAGGCCACAGCAGAGAGCTGGATCGGAAGTGGAGCAGCCGGGACTCGAACTGGCACCCATATGGGATGCCAACGCTGCAGGCGAAGGATTAACCTACTGCGCCACAGCGCCTGCCACTTAAAACATTTTCTAAGTGAAAAAGTGTATCTATGTATTCCATTTTTATCTGACAGGTGTTGGGAGCTGTGAATGGATATACTCGAACTTGAAGAACCCTGAATTACACCCATTAGAAAGAAAATAAAAGGAAAATAAATGGCAACAGAAACTCAGACACTCAGCTTGGGGTGAGATGGGACATCTCATGCTTGCTTAGTCTTCAGTGGAGGCCAAGAACTCACTGATGCCCAAGGGAGAAATGACAGTGCAGAGTGCCTGAGGTGGGGACTCCTGCCAGGCAGTTGGTGATGGTCTGAAACACACCACTTTCGTGGGATGGCCCTCTACCAAGAGTGTAATGCAAAACCAGCGACCCCAGCCTGGCCGTGCACACAGTCCGTGGTCAGTGGTTAACCAGCGGCAACGGCAGCCGCCTCTGCCTTTTGTGTCTACAAAGTCTGCGTGCAACAGCTCCTCCTGTTCCTACAACTGCACAGTGCCGCATCCTTCTCCTCTGACCGTGTGTGTGTGTGTGTGTGTGTGTGTGTGTGTAATAGCTGCTGTGGATCATATCTGTGCAGTGCCAAGTGTTGTGTAGTCAGTCTAGGGTGAGAATCCCTCCCTCCCTCATCAGCAGATTGAGGAATCAGTAAAACTACTGAAATCACAGACACGATAGCCCATCCTCGACTGTGGATGCACCTGCTCAGCTTTCACTAACTGCTGGTTTCCTAAGGCGGCAGTGAGCGTCTGGGATTTAACTGCCTGGTGCAGACCAGCTTGCACTTCAGCTAGTGAGTGAGTGTGGACATCTTGTGCACCCTAAGAAAGGCTGGCTGGCTGACTGTTCCCCGAGGTGAGGTACCATCAGCCGTGCCCGTATCTGCCAGTTGGTCTCTGAGGCTGTCACTTGGGAGCAGTGACAACATAACATCCTAGCTGGTAGGTTCTTGAAGTCCACTCACTGGAGGTCAGTACAGAGCCCTTTGCTCACTGTACGTAGCCACCGGCCATCACTAGCAGTGTGGGACCCTCATCCTGACACTATTTGGGAGAATGTTCTCAGGACTTAGGCCTGGAGACCACCCTTAGTTTGTGGAAAGGAATGAGCCCACTACCTCGGGAAAGTTTCAAAACAGCTTCCTGGTTGCTGCCTAGAAATACTGTGTTCAGGCAGGAATAGTGTTTCCTGGGCTGATGCTTCCCTTGCTGCTGTCCTGAGCTCTCCTGATTGGAAGTGCACCTCCATGGCATTCCGGGGATGGCTTTAGTCCAGAAGTGATGATTAACAAAACAAAGATGTAGGAGGAAGGGCATTTGGTACTCAACTGCTTTCCCACTTGGAAACCCCTAAGCACCAATGGGCTTTTCTTGGCTCTACAGCTTACTGTCCTAGCACGCAAAGGCTGATCTTGTGATCAAGGTATTTGAGGGCCTCACCTGGCCATAGACAAGATGAATTTTCTGGGTATAGATCCCCACACTGGGATGAGTGGCTAGCATTTCCAGGAGGAAGGGGTAGGCCACCTACAGGGTCAACCCCTGGACTCCTTTCCCCATAACCACCCGGAAATCTGTATCTCGTGTCATCTTGTGGAGACCCATACAAACATGTGACTTTATGACTCCAGAAATAAAAATTATTATTTGCACTTTAATTTATTCAACCCATCTTTTCACAATTACTGCTTTTTGCTTGTTGTTGTATAGGAATTATGATGCTGCTTTTAAAAATCCTGTATACCTATTTTTATTTGAAAGGCAGACAGACAGAGGTCTAACAGCCACTGGTTCACTCCACACATACCTGCCACATTCAAGGCCAAATGCAAGAGTCAGCAACTCCATCTGGGTATCCCACGTGGGTGGCATGGACTCAAGCACTTGGGCTGATACCTGCTGCCTCCCTGGGTGTAAGTTAGCAGGAAGATGGATCAGGAGCAAAGCACTAGGGACTGAAACCAAGCACTCTGATAATGGCAGGTAGGCATCCCAACCAGTGTCCTAACCATGTCCCCATACACCTGCCCCGGGCATACACCTGCCCCGGGTCTTCTGACATCAGCATTTCCGGTTGGGCTCTTTGAGATCCTCTAATGAACTCTTGCTCATCTTGGAGAGACAAGAGTTAACTAGGCTTATCTGGGTTGTATGGAAGGTACTATTGGGCTGTGAAATGATGTTAGACTTTTTTTTTAATTTTTAAAATTTTATTTATTTTCATTTTATTTGAAACGTGGAGAGATACAGATCTTCTATCCACTGATTTTCTCCCCAAATGTCTCCAATAGGAAGACTAGGCCAGGCCAAAGCCAGAAGCCTGAAACTCCATCTGATTCTCCCAGGTAAGTAGCAAGGACCCAAGTACTTGTGCCATCATTGGCTGCTTTCCAGGGTGTGCATCAGCAAGAAGCTGGATCAGAAGCAGAGGAGGGAGGCCAGCACTGTGGCTCACTTGGTAAATCCTCTGCCTCCAGCGCCAGCATCCCATATGGGTGCCGGGTTCTAGTCCTGGATGCCACTCTTCCAACCCAGCTCTCTGCTGTGGCCTGGGAAAGCAGTGGAGGATGGCCCTAGTCTTTGGGCCCCTGCACCTGCATGGGAGACCAGGAGGAGGCACCTGGCTCCTGGCTTTGGATCGGTGCAGCTCCAGCCGTTGCAGCCATTTAGAGAGTGAACCAACGGAAGGAAGACCTTTCTCTCTGTCTCTCCCTCTCTCTGTCTGTAACTCTACCTCTCAAATAAATAAATAAATAAATAAAATCTTTAAAAATTAAAAAAAAAGAAGCGGAGGCAGTGGGACTCAAACCAGGTACTCTTATAAGGCTTGTGGGCACCCTAAGTGGAGACTTGAGCTGCTGCACCAAACACACACCCCTGATGCTAAACTTCAGTTGTATATGACGTTTACAGAGATCTGGGGTTCTGTAAACGTATCTGGGGTGATAGCATTGATACCTTAGTGTAAGAGAGAGCCTTCCTCCTCCCTAAGGCCAGGAGGGCTGAAAGAATTGTTTGTGAACACTGCGGCTGGCACTGTGGCAGACTTGGTAAAGCTGCCACCTGCAATGCTGAGATCCCATGTGAATCCCTGCTGCTCCACTTCCAATCCAGCTCTCTGCTAGGGCCAGAGAAAGCAGTACAAGATGGCCCAAGTAGTTGGGCCCCTGTACCCACCAGAAGAAGCTCCTGGCTCCTAGGTTCAGAGCGGTGCAGTTCTGGCCATTGTGCCCATCTGGGGAGTGAACCAGCAGATGGAAGACCTCTGCCTCTGCCTCTCTGTAACTCTGCCTTTCAATCAAATACATAAATAAATCTTAAAAAAGAAGAGGAAACCTTACTGTGCTTTCTAAAAATGCTATTACAAGGAAAGTAACTAAATATCCTTGTGGATTGCTGAACTGTTACACAAATCTTAATTATGATTAAGTGTTTTTTAAAGATGTATTATATTTTGCATTTGAATGGCAGAAGGAGAGAGAGAGAGGGGCAAAGAAAGATCTTCCATCTGCTGGTTTACTGCCCAAA